AAAAGATTCAGTCGAGGTTGAGTAGAAGGTTTCATAATAGAGGGAAATCTGGTGCACATACAAAATTGAAAAAATCAGAGAACATCAGTGCATTACTGCAAGGAAATGGGTTCCACGGATGTTACTATATATAATACATGATTTTTCCTGAGAAATAGCAAAAATGCCAATTAGCTGCCCCTAGTTTTTTCGATAATGGTAGCTGATTTTCATTTTTAGGCCGTTCACATGCTTTGGATCAATCTTATCATGGATACTCTTGCTTCGCTAGCGCTTGCAACCGAAGTACCCAACGAAAATCTGCTCAACAGGAAGCCTTACGGAAGGTGGGACCATGTCCCCTTCAGAAAATATATTGAAACAGTCGCTTTGTGTAATTGCACCACTTCCGGGAGTAGCAAAGCAGCAAACTGACCTCGGCATCATTATTATCACAATGAAAGGATTAGCAGAAACAATAGAAGGGAGCAAAAAAATTTGCACAACTAAAGAGCTTCATTTCTTGGCGTAACTTGCTCCCTTGCGCAAATGTAGAAAGTTGTGCAATTACTCAACTTCGTTGGTTAACCATATTTGCTGGACGTCCGCATTCACTCATTTTCAGGAAAAAGTCATTGATCTCTCGCACCATGGTCAAGAATATTCTTTGTCATGCGATTTATCAGCTTGTGATCTTGTTTACCATCTTCTATTATGGTAAGCATTTACGAAAGTTTTCAAGTTTTCTGAGAAATTTCTAAAAGTTGTTTCCCTTGTTAGTTTTTGCTGAAAGCACTCAGTTACAGTATCCCATAATTACAGTATGCTCTAACTTCAGATTGCTCATTTAGGCGATCAAATCTTCAATATCAAGTCAGGCCTGTACGCCCCACTCTTTGCCCCACCTTCACAACATTTCACAATTGTATTCAACGCCTTTGTAATGATGACTATCTTCAATGAAATCAACGCTAGAAAAGTTCATGGCGAGAGAAACGTCTTCAAGGTTTCCTACCTGATTTATTGATTGAAAAGGACCAGTTCTCACTTCGACCGCATTATAGGGTCTTCTCAAAAATCGTGTGTTCTGTGTGATTTGGCTCTCTACATTCATTGGACAAATTCTCATCACCCAGTTTGGTGGTGCATGGTTTTCAACTGCTCCACTGAACGGCACACAGGTACGGCATTACCATAGTATTACCGTAATCCTCGTAAA